CGGTTGTTTGTTGTCCAGTGATCAGTGAGCTCCTCTGAATCCCTTCTGAACCCGTTCAGGTCCAAACCAACAACAGCAGGGTCATCTGCAAACTTCCTTTCATGATTACAGGAAACTTAGTGGAACAATCATCTGAGAGTTTGCTAATGTCATTAAGCCGAGGCGGACATCTTGTTTCGGGCTGACCGTCCGATAATTAGTCTGAGTTTTAAAAAACGCCACCCAGAGCTTCGTGAGATACGGTGCTAAGAGGCATACATAAAATTAGCTACTCACATCTAAAGCTAATGTGTGAAATCTTAGAACAGTTTCCTCTGGTTTTACGAGGAAAAGCAGCCTGCCGCTGTCACTGTGTCGCGATTCTCTGTTGTGCTTTTGAAAAACGGTGATCCTGATTGTCTTTAACTCAATCATCAGCTGCTCAGACTTTAGAGGTGTGTCTGCACAGAGGAACTGTGCATAGTGTCACGTTTGCACGTACGCACGCACACACGCACACACGCACACACACACACACACACACACACAATTTAAACGTTATCATCATGGCAATTATCCATAAACGGGTTGACCAAACATTGTTTCTGGCTTCCAGTAAGGAACTGGAAGGATGACAGGAAGTCAGCGAGACAGAGAAATTTCCATGACAACTCCTTCGTTCACATCCAGGCCCTTGTGACCAGAGACACTCAGCCATGTTTTTCCTCTTTGAAAGATAAGGCTTGTGTCTCATGGAAATATGATTGAGGTACTTTATTTAGGCGAAGTGAGTCTCTGTCCCATGGACGTAATTTGGGGGGGGGGGGGGGGGGGGGGGACAGGTCCCCCCCACTTTTTCCAAAGTCAAGTTTTGACCCCTGCACTTTTTAACATCCAAAAACAATATTACTTTATATTAAATTGACACTGGTTGAGCTCTAGGACTAAGCAGAAAACAACCGTTTTTTTGTATAAGCATGTTTCCCATTTGAACATACTGTAAAGATACCCCACCCCCACCCCCACCCCCAGGTCACCTGCACTTCTAAAGTGAAAATTACGTCCATGCTCTGTCCTTATGTTGGACACTTGAAAAGATGGAGCTGAACACGTTTTAACTGCAATGATTATTTAATACTTTTTATTCTTCTATTATTTTGTTTTGTTTTCTTGCACTAAATATGGAATCTGTGTGACCCAATTGGTTTTATTTTCTCCCACCATTAACTTTGATCCAGCAAGTCTTACAATGTTCTATTGTCATTTTGTTGTTCGTTTTATGTTGCCAAGTTTCTTGATGTCCTTTCTTCGTGTTTTCCTCCCTGTGAGAATGGGTCTTTCACATTTCACCCTGTATAACTATGTGCTTCGCTTGTGTTCTTTATTTTATAAAATGTCCAAAAGAAAATACGTAGAATCACTGGAAAAGTGAGCTCAGCCTCTTTCATCAATAAAAATGATCTGATCTTTATCATTATTCTTTTAACCTTTGTTTTCAAAGCCCTGAGCGGTTTGGTCCCAGCTTACCTGGTAGATCTGGTTACTCGCTATGTGTCAAAACGGGCATGGAGGTCGGCTGATCATCTGTTGTTTTGCGTTCCCTCCATGAGATAGACAGTGGGTACAGAAAGGATTCAGACCCCCAACAATTTTTAACTCTTTGTTATTTTGCAGCCGTTTGCTAAAATCCATTAAATTCATTTTTTCTCATTGATGTACACACAGCACCGCGTACTGACAGAAAAACAGAATTTTAGAAATGTGTACAAATTTATTAAAAAAGAAAAGCTGAAATATCACATGGTCCTAAGTATGCAGACCCTTTGCTCAGTAATTAGTTGAAGTACCCTTCTGAGCTACAGCCATGAGCCGTCTTGGTACAGACGCATGGACGTAATTTCAAGGGGGGGGGGGACAGGGGGGACATGTCCCCCCCACGTTTTCCAAAGTCAAGTTTTGACCCCTGCACTTTTTACCATCCAAAAACATTACTTTATATTAAATTGACACTGGTTGAGCTCTAGGACCAAGCAGAAAACAACCATTTGTGTTGAAGCCGGTTTCCCATTAGAACATTCTGTAAAGATACCCCCCCCCCCCCCATGTCTCCCCCACTTCTTAAGTGAAAATTACCTCCATGTACAGACACAACAAGTTTCTTACACCTGGATCTGGGGATCCTCTCCAGTTCTGTCAGGTTGGATGGTGAACTTTGGTGAAAAGCCATTTTTAGGTCTCTCCAGAGACGCTCAATAATAACTCATTTCGATTGACCATTTTGGCATGGAATGAGAAGGACCGGCGTGTTCCGGTATGGGTCTGCAATTTTCAGGCGAACGTTTCTATTGCAGTTTGGGTCCTCATGGTCTACAGAGCTACAGGCAAAAACAAAATGCTGACCATAAGTTCCACAAGTGACTCCAGAATGCGGTCACTGAGTCCAGAGGCCTGCCTTGCTGCCTTGGTCTGTTACTATAAATAGCATCCAGCGCCAGGGGCGTGACCAGGGAGTGGCCTGGGGTAGCACATGCCACCCTTAGAATCTGATTGGCCACCCCAGGTGCCATCCCATTAAGTTCCAGTTTAAACTGACTTTACATTGTCGACAAACGGCTTGGGTTGTAAACTCCAAAATAGTGTGTGGTTGCATGCACCTTTCATCTTGTTTTCTAGCCCAGGTGTGTAGTATTAATATTAATATTTTTTCATACTCACATACATAGTATTTAGAGTCCCACTCAACTCCAGTTGGTGGCAGTAATGTAACAAGAAGTGACTTGCTAACCACCACAAAAGTAGAAGATGAAGAGGAAAAAAAAGGTGATTGTGCAATGTGAAACTCAAAAATTCACTAGAAAGTAAATAAATAAATAAACGATTTCTGTAAATAAATAAATAAGCATATCCATTGGTGCCATCCATGAATAAACAAGTGCCCCACATGGGCCACCCCATTTTAAAAGTCCTGGACACGGCTCTGTCCAGTGCGTCGTAGCACCTCCTTGTATTTCTCCCATTTTTCATTTAAAAAATCCACTCTGGCTGTTTCCATCCTTAACTTTTTTATTGGGCTTTAACTTTTGGACCTAAAAGAAGGAGGCCAAAAAAGTCTTGTGACCGGCACGGTCCGGGTAGGTTGTCTGGATCAGTTTTACAATGGAAACAGAAAAATTAGCGATCAGATCCTTCCCTTTCCATGCCAAATTGGTAAATGGAAATTAGCTATATGTCAGGACTCTGGTTGGGTTAGGGGCATTCAAGAACAGTCACAGAGTTGCCCTGAAGCCGCTCCTTCATTATGTTAGCTGTGTGCTTAGGGTCATTGTCATGTTGGAAGGTAAACCTTCGGCCCAGTCTGAGGTCCTGAACACTCTGGAGAAGGGTCTTGTCCAGGATGTCCCTGTGCTTGGTTGCATTCATCGTTCCTTCGATTCCAACCAGTCGTCCTGTACCTGTAGCTGAAAAACACCCCACAGCATGATGCTGCCACTGCCATGCTTCACTGTGGGGAGCTTTCTGTCCTACACTGACCAGAGGCTTCCGACGAGCCACTCTACCATGAAGCCTTGAGTAGTGGAGGGCTGCAGTGATGGTTGACTTCTACAAATTTCTCCCATCTTCTGACTGTCTCTGAAGCTCAGCCACAGCGATCTTTGGGTTCTCCTTTACCTCTCTCACCAAGGCATTTCTCCCCAGTCGCTCAGTTGGGCCAGACGGCCTGCTCTAGGAAGGGTTCTGGTCGTCCCAAACGTCTTTCATGTAAGGATTATTGAGGCCACCGTGCTCTTAGGAACCTTAACCTTGGTCAGATCTGTGCCTTGCCACAATTCTGTCTCTGAGCTCTTCAGGCAGTTCCTTTGACCTCATGATTGTCATTTGCTCTGACATTGCACTGTGAGCTGAAAGGTCTTATGTAGACAGGTGTGTGGCTTTCCTAACCAAGTCCAGTCAGCATAGTTAAACACAGCTGAACTCCAATGAAGGTGTGGGACCATCCCAAGAATGATGAGAAGAAGTGGAAAAGACTTGAGTTAAATATCGGAGCAAAGGATCTGAATTCGTTCTATGTGTTTTTATTGTTGACTATGCTTTTATTGCCTTGTGCTTGATTTTAATCCGAACAGCATTTCGGTTAGCTGCCATGCTGTTTCAGAAAAAAATTTGCTATGGTATGATATTCAAATCTGCTGAGTCATTGTCAGACCAGAACAAAACCAACATGGCGACGTGAAAAAGCTATTTGTACTCAAATATAGAAACAGATTCAGGATCAGCCAGGCATGGACGTAATTTTTTTTGGGGGGGGGGGGGGGGGCATGTCCCCCCCCCCACACTTTTTCCAAAGTCAAGTTTTGACCCCTGCAGTTTTTACCATCCAAAAACAATATTACTTTATATTAAATTGACACTGGTTGAGCTCAAGGACCAAGCAGAAAACAACCGTTTGTGTTGAAGCCGGTTTCCCATTAGAACATTCTGTAAAGATCCCCCCCTCCGTGTCCCCCCACTTCTAAAGTGAAAATAACGTCCATGCAGCCAGGAGCCTCTGATCAGATCTATAGAGTAATGATCACCAGTGTGAGCTCCTCTATAGAAGCAGGAGTTTTCTGGTCTGGAGCATACAGGTGTGTGTTAGCACAAAGAAACATCAGAAATGATCCTAAAGCAGCAACTACCACCATGCTGCCAGAACCCCCCTTCCCAATAAACATTTAATTATTCAGGGTGGACTCTAAACAGAAACAGAACCTCAGAGAAATTCAGTGTAGAGACGGGAAAAGCGTGATCTTATTTTTAAATGTAGGAATGGAAGTGCGAGACCCGGACTGGCTGATGAATGTCCCGCCGGGCATTCATTAATGGAACGAAAGGCGCATCTGAAGGACTGACCTTTACCTCAGATTCTGTGACAGATTCTGCCATGGCAGCCATCTTAAATTGTGTTGACTTTCATCCAGTGAAGACTTTCTGTGAGACTCGCTGGTTTGTGTTCAAACAAAAGAAGAGGCAGCACATCAGTGATCAGTGAAGAGCAGCAGAGTTTTATTAGTAAAATCAGATGATGATTTATAACAGTTGTCTCAAGGATTCTGGCATTCTGAGTGAATTATGAAAATCTGTATGATTCCTGTCAGCTAAGTACAACAATCCAGAATGTAAAGAGAGCATGGACGTAATTTTGGGGGGGGACAGGGGGGACATGTCCCCCCCAATTTTTCCAAAGTCAAGTTTTGACCCCTGCACTTTTTACCATCCAAAAACAATATTACGCTATATTAAACTGACACTGGTTGAGCTCTAGAACCAAGCAGAAAACAACCGTTTGTGTTGAAACCTGTTTCCCATTAGAGCATACTGTAAAGATACCCCCCCCCCCCCGTGTCCCCCCCACTTCTAAAGCGAAAATGACGTCCATGAAAGAGAGTCTTGTGTGTGTTTAGTAATTCTACTCGTTACTATCAGCAGTCTGATCGCGTTTACAGACGATACAGGTGTGTGTTTGAGAGCCAACGCAGGTGGATGTTCTGGTTCTCTCAGGTGGGGCGTGGCTCTATCCAGTAAAGCCCAGCTCTTTGTAAGAGGCCTCGATGTCGCTGATGACAACGGCCATCACGTTCCGGAGGGCCTGCTGGCCGGCAGCATCCAGCCCTGCCTTCTCCGCCATGACTTTCCCGATCACCTCGGAAATCAGCTGAAGGGAAGATACAGGAAGACACATGAGAAACGCGGATATAGAAGAAGCAGAATGCGTGTGACGCCACCCTCACCCTGAAGTTATTGATTGGGATCTTGTGCTTGGTAGCGTGGGTGTTGGCCAGAGGTTTCAGGATGGCAGCGTGGTTGCCTTTGGCCTTCAGCAGCTCACCCAGCTTTTTCAGCACGGTGGCGCCGTGGGCGGAAACAGCAGCGTTACCGGCCAGCTCCCCCAGGGGGATGCCCACAAACTTAGGGAACAGCTTTTGGGTTTCTGGGTGCTCGTTAAATAAACTGGAATTGGAATTGTAATTATTAGTAATGAAATATCACTTTAAAGATAACAATACGGTTCATGTCGACTCGCTGCTGTGGAACTAGTTCATGTTTGTCGAGCAACAAGAACAGAGATCCACTGACCGGGTCAGAACCAGGTTTCCGTGGGCGTTGTAATCAGCTTCCACTGGTCTCCAGTGCTTCAGAATCATATCATAATCTGCCATGATCCAAGGAGACAGAACCTGGTGAGAAATAGTCTAGAAACAAAACAGAACCCTTGTTCAGGCAGAAAACGTAGGGTTTCACGAAGCTTTTGAGGTTTACACAAACAGTGCTATCTTGTGTGGCGTTGCATTTCTTCTGTTTGATTCGATGGCTCCAGGCCAGGAGCCACTTCATTCGAGGGCAACTCATTACCAGAGGGAGTTGGAGACATGACCTCGTCTGTCCTCGGTGGGTGTGTAATGCAACCCTGGCACGGCTCTGCATTATTAAGTCTAAATCAGGAGTTTTTGATCTAAATGTGCTAAAAATCTGCAAAAGCAGGTGATTACAGGAAATTTCTTCTTCCATAGTTGATGTTTTTTCTCCAGATCTGCTGCTTTTCTGTTTTCATTAAACAACCAACAACCATTTAATTCACTGCAGTAGAGCATTCCTGGAACCTTAAAAATGTACGCTAACAAACCCATGTGTGGTTTTCATTATTAGCATTTCATTACAGACGTGTTATTTTTACTCTGTTAGAACCTAAAATAAATCATTTTGCTTTAGAAACAGAAGAAAGTCACGACCCACCTGTGAGCTGGTGAGGTACCCTTTGTGGCGATCCCAGATTCCTTTTGGCCTGACCCCCCCCCAGCTCTCTCCTTTTATACACCCACCCCCATCCTGCCATTATATTTTTCCAGCACTCCCATCAGTCCTCCTCTCTCACTGCACGTCTCTCAGTATGTTCTCTGCACCTAAACTTCTGCAAATCAATTCAATTCAATTTTATTTATATAGCGCCAAATCACGACGAGAGTCGTCTCAAGGCACTTCACATAATAAACATTCCAATCTCCATTCCTGCACAGTTATCATTACCCAGACTGACCTGGATTTCTGTCCAAATAGAGGAAAACACTCCTGTCTGTGTTTGTAAGAGGAGGTTTGGAATGTTTTGTAATAGGGGAAATGTTAGAATTTATTCAGAAAGGAATCTGTTAGATGGGTGTGTCACGTGATTGATGCTCTCACGCGAGATGATTAGATCTTATGATTATCAAATGTGGCAAGGTGAAGAAACGAGGACCCGGGCGGGATCGATCCCCACTCCCGGGTGCGAAACAGGGTGAGCATCCTCACGAACAAGGACGAAAAGACAACTCAGATGTGATGCATAACAATCTAACTGATGGAAATGTTTGTTGGAAGAGAAAACCAACAGACAGCCGTGTGCTGCGATCATCAGGAGGATCGTGTAAAATACCAGCAGCGTGGATGTTTTCTACAAACCAGCTTTGGTGTTTATTACAGACATCTGACGTTTCTTGGATCATCAGCCATGATCCTACAGGATCTTCTCATGTTTCATCCCGCCTGCACCTGTTACATCCTTTAATCAGCTTATGAGGAGGCTGATCCCCTCGTCACTAACCTGTGTACCACAGGAACCTTTCAACAGTCTGGCACTGATTAAGGAGGAAGATCTGCCCCATATCTCCATATCTCATGTACTGAAACTCTAATTTCCCTCTGGGATTAATAAAGTTTTGATTGATTGATTGATTGATTGATATTTCCTGCTGCAGGCTGTGTCTCCTGCACCTCAGTGGTGCTGATTTGTTTTAGTTCAGCGGAACCCAAAGTGCAGGTCTAGATGGTGCCATGTTGATGTTTTAGGGTTTAATGCACTTTATGCATTTATTAAATGCGATAAAACTGTTTGTTCACTGACCGTTTGTAATGAATTCATTTTCTTTAGGCTTTGCTTTTTAAAACATCAAAATGATCTTAAAGTTTGGTTTTGATGCGTTTTCTACAGGAAATGTTGTTGATCTTAACTTAAAACCAACACTGAATAGTTTTCTGGTAAATTAGTGAGAACAAAACCAGTTTTGGGATCTTTTTTTCGATTAACTGAACCCACATTTCAGTGGCCGTTACCCGGTGGGACTCCTGAAGTCAGCCTGCACACAATACACAGAGGTGACCAAAGACGGTGGGTGAAATGAGCCTGTGTCTGAGCTGAACTGTGAAATGTGATCACTTTCAATGCCTATTCAAAGTGCTATCAGGGAAAATGCAGAGTAGGCGTGCCGTGAGCGGTTTTCCCAACACTCACTTGACTGTCTATGCTTGAATGCGCACGTAAGCACTTACAAACATAAAGGTACACCCAACAGATGCAAGCCCAACTCCTTTACCAGATTTAAAGTAATTCAAAGTTCGTTTTATTCCACCAATAGGTTTCCTGTTCTTGTTGCCATGATAGAAGTTAGAAAAGATGGTCCAACGCAGAGAGGCTTCGGATCAGCTAATGAGGCTGGGTGTGTTTTATTTTATTGTCCCTTATAAAAGTCCCAAATTATCCCTTTTTCATATGATATGAATAATTCAAATATCACAACAACTTGCATTATTTTAATCATAACATTTATGTGTTTTAAAGCTTATAAACATATAACGTCCATTTACCTGTCCAAAACCTTTAACACCTTAGCTCACAACAGAGACTCTTTCATGTGAGAGTATCAAATCACTGTTTCTTCACTGTCTCACCAGATCTCAGCATGAACAGGCTGACGCTTTCATCCTCCGAGCCACATAAAATCTTAAATGGAGTTCTTCAAGGTTCAGTCCTTGGGTCACTGTTTTTCATGATCTCATACAAAAAGTTCACTTCTATGCTGATGATCCAGTTATTTATTATTCTGTCGCCACATGGGAAGCAACACTAAGCTTAAAGGGGAGGTTCACGGAGAAAAGGTGTTTCTTAAATCTGATGGGTTACTCTGAGTTGCATCTACATTCTGAATGTGATAGTCTTCAACCCCTTTTGGCCACAGAAATAAAATAGACAGGGAAACGGTCTGCCCTGTTGCAGCAACCTTTATTGCAATTATTGACATTCTAAACACATAAAATGTATACCAACGAATGCATGTAGAGTCTTTTTCTATTGCCGAGGGCTTTATTTTAAATCTGCTGCTCCATCTGCCCTGAATCAGTTACAGAATGATTGAAATGACCCTGAATGAGTGTCTGTGCTGTCAACGCTTTTAAAGTTAGTTTTCATTTTTACTGCTTTCATATTTCTGATTGTACCTGAAATAGTTTCTGGAGTTTTCTGCATGTAGGGGCTAGACACCATCTGAAAAGTTGTGCAGTGTGCCGTTATTCTGTGTAATGGGTTTATCTATGTCATACACAAAACATGGCTCACAGGTCAGGTGATTGGACCATTGAGAGTGTGCACTGAAGGAGAATAATGAAAGTGATTTAATAAAAGTCTAATAAGTGTGAAAGTTTACTTAAACGCCAATTAAACAGATTCATTTTTCGTACGTCCAAAATAGTTAGAGCCATTCAAAAATAAATAAATAAATAAATAAATAATAAATAAGGCTCAAGAATCAGCTACGTCTTTATACATTTTTTATTTAACTCTTTGATGCATAACGGTCACTACAGTGGACAGGTACTCAAAGTTGTTATTTATAAATTTTTGCTATTAAGCTCAGCTTTATTGCATTTGAGCCCCTTCATTTGGACTTAAGGCAAGCCAACACATTTCATGTTCAGAATGCACGCTGTCCACTGTGGTGGACATTTAATAAATGATTTGTAAATTATTAAATGTTACAAAAATATTTGTTGAAATCTTGTTTCATTCACACCTAAAGATGAATGAGAAAAATGTTTTAAAAAATTACGGTTGAAGATTTCATAATTCATGCATCAAAGGGTTAAATTTATGAAATCAAATGTGTTTAAACAGTTGTTTCCGTCACAACACCATGAACTGGCTTTTCATCACACATGCAGCTGGTCTGAGCAAAACCAGACAATCACACAGCTTATTAACCTCAGAAAACCTTAACAAATGTACATCATCTTCAGTCTAAACACCACTTGTTAGTATCTGTAAAGCTCTAAATGAATTTGATCTATATTTCTAATTAAGTGGCTTTGATTAGATCAGGTTGACAGAATTAGATTTTACACATTTCATCCACTCCATTTGATTATAATCAGATTTTGTGGCTAAATTTCACAACTGAACCATTCAATATTATCAGTTAATTACAACAATTTATTTTGTTGAAGCTTTATTTCTTAAGTCTTTCATCTGAAGGATCTGACTTCTGTCTATTATAAAGCCAGCTGATGACTGGAACTTTATTTAGAGAAGAAATCATACCAACACACCACCATGAGGGCAACTGCAGAGGAACACATTGGACAATGTTTTTAATCCTTTTGACAACATAAAATTAATCAGATATTGGAAAAATATGACAAATTTGCTGAATCTGACATTTTCTGTTTTTAATATGGTGATCTTTCAGGATATCTAAAGCCAAAAGACAAGAATTAAGAATAAAGACGTTTGTGTCTGGCCACAAGTTAAAACAGCAACAAATATAAACACCAGTTTGGAAACCATGTTATTGAACATTAAACACATTAACAACACAATAAAATGCTCATGTGACAGAAATACCAGCAGTTTAAGTTCAAGAGAGACATGGAACAACATAATGAAATACAAAATAGAAGAGGAAGATGAGAAAAAGAGCAACAGAGGTCATAACTAAATGTTAAAATAATGATTTATAAGTGTAAAGCTGCCATGGCTGCCACCCATCTGAACTGATCACATCATTCAGAAGCACTGAACTTAACCAGAAATAAATAAATGAGTCTTCCTTAAGATTTTAGGTTTTCATTACAAAAGTTAAATATGTCTTGAATTATATTATATTATATTATATTATATTATATTATATTATATTATATTGCCCTATACGAATAATGAAAAGCAATAAAGTTTTATTTTATTGTCACTTGTACAAAAATAATATGGTTTGAAAGAGGTCCAGTTATTTATCCTCATATTTTTTCTTCTTATGGAAGGACAAATTTGATGAAATTAATAGTTAGAGGTGGAATGACATTTTTTAATATGAAATATAATTTAAATTGCATATAAATGCATCTGGGTGAATATTTGATGGTACAAGAGAGGCACCTGGTTGCAGCAAAGTGCAAAATGTGAAACGTCTAGCGCGCCCTCTGTTGGTCAAAGTAAAGAACTGTAGCTAACGGGAATCAAGCCCCTCCTTCTCAAAACGCTGATTGGACTAAAGTGAACCATCAGGTTTTACTGCATCCAATAGCAGCTCAAGCTACCCTCGCGTGTCACGTGATCAAAATCACCCAGAAGTTGTCAGTGAGAGAAAAAACAAAACAAGAACAAGTGTAGAAAGCCGGTTAGCGTGTCCTTAGCTTAGCTGTATTTAATATACACTTATTTAACTGTTGGTCAACAAAAGTATTCCCTACGATGATTCAAGCTCTGAAAGGCGTCAGACACGTGACTTCCGGTACAATGAAACAAGCAGGTAACTTATCTTGTGTGTGTGTTAAATTGTTTTAAAAACAGAACTGAAATAAGGCAAATATAGTCGCCTAAAGGTAGTTACTTTGTTTGAAAACCCAAAGGATGGCAACTCAATCAAACTCTGGGTAAAGTGGTCAAAATGGAACATTTAGCCAACAGCGCTGTTTTTTATTTTTAACCTTTGTGGACTTATTAAACAGTCTCGATTGGACCATTGGACTTAGACTTTTAAAAAGTCGCCTGAGTGACCTCAGTGATAAACACACTCAGGCTGTGTTCTTTCATTTGTGTCTGACTTTGATTGTTTTGTTCATTTGCTCTGTAGATGATAACATTTATTCTTTTTCACTTATAAACGTAAATTATACCTTAAATCTCAAATGCGTTGATAAAATAACTGGAGATTTAAAGCGTCTTATTTTGTAAGGCTAGCTCAGTCCTGATGAGGGATCTGAGGTTTTAGGCTGTTCGGTTGTAATTAAGACAGTCACAGTAAAAAAAAAGGTTACTGGAGTCATGTTATTGTCTAAGATAGGTGTTTAATTTGGTTTATTACCTTTCACCTGTAATACGGCTTTTCTCCAAGGAAGTTTCACAATAAATCTCTGCTGAACAAAGTGTGACCTTCAGGTCACATCAGGCCTTATTTACATGTGACCATGACCCAAAGTGATTCATGCAGATTGAGGATTTGGATCAGATGCGTTCTGTTTTATAATTTATTCTGTAGTCCATGACAAAACTCCGTGATGCACACGTCTGTGTGGACAATCTGAGCAGACGGCTGCTACAGTACGCAGTTCTTTACTGGTTTTGAAAGGAAGTAAACATTTTAGGATTGTAAATGTGTAAATCTATACATGCGTCTAGTTTCAGAGCTCCTTGTACCGGTTCCATGGGGGCAGATCAGAGGAAAAGTCTGGGGTCCTGATCACGGTCGGCCCGTTCTGTGCCTTCATGGCTGGTCAGATAACTGTGGCTCATTCAACACCCTCCTTCCCCTTCTACCTACAGGTAAGAATAGCGCGTTAAGATTTTTGGGTTCTGAAACATTAACGCTGAAATGTACTCTAATTAAAGCTAAAAATGATCGAGAGTTTAATTACGAAAGGTACAGTCACTACTGCTGTAGTCATTATCCAAACTAGGGAGCTAGAAGTTTATCTTTTGTGCAAATAAAACAGAGAAATGATTTTATTTTACCAAAGGTCTTAATTATTGAAACTCGTGATATTGTTTTATTTTTATTTCATAAGGATAAAACAACGACATAGGCTTTGGTTTACTAAAACCTGTTTATGCACTCTTAACTCGAGCGTGATTAACACAGTTACTCGTTTAATAAAAGTCTAACCAGATTTCTGTCTGTCCCTCTGTCAGATTTCAGATATGTGGCCGTGGACCTGCCAGGTCATGGCTTCTCATCACATCGTCCTCCTGGAATTATGTACAATTTCCCCTCCTACGTGATGGATGTTCGCAGAGTGGTTGAAGGTATTTGAGCCTCAGAACATACACGGCATCTTAGATTTTTTTTTTAACTTGATAATAACAGAACACCTACAAGGCTGCAAGAAAGTAAAACGAGTGAGAGAGAGAGGGAGATTGAGGACTTTATGAGGCAGAACTGGTGTGGTACACTTGTTTTGGACCTGCCCCAAATTAATTTTGGGCCAGCATTTTTGATGATTGTAGTGAAATGTTCCAAAAAGATATTCCAGATCCGGTGTCGGTACAAGATCTGCTTGGGTGCAAGATCGGCTCGGGGTCCGTCGACTGCCGATGACGTCAAAGTAGTTGATTGGCTGAACATGAACCTTACGGAAGTTACGTAATCACGTTACGTTCTTATCACGTTACGTTGGTCCAGGCAAATCTTTGTGTTGGAAAGATGGACAACTTTTACAAAGAAATCCATCATTACCTCTTTAAAAATACACTTTTAGCATAGAGCTGCATGTATATTAGGGCTGAACGATTAACTGCATGTGCAATTAAATTGGGATGTGACAAAAGGAGATTTTCTAATCGCAAAGGCTGCATTTTGGCAGTGAGTGGTTAGCGCAATGCTAATATACATGGAAAAACCCATAGGAATGCTAATGCTAATATCACTGATTACATTATTACAAATTATGAATTAGAAACGTGCCAAATGATTACATTTGGAGTCTAATAGAAAGTAAAACTACCATCAATCAAATAAGTAGAGACAGGTATTTTAGTAAAGCCAGAAAACTTTTAACTCCAGAGTTTTGGCTAGCAGCTTTGAGCGTACCTGAACTACGCATGGACAAGACGTCAAAAACTAAACACAAAATACTTCAATAAACGGGACACACTTCTTTCCTGCAAATACAAATACCATTATAAACACAAACTTACGTCTTAAGAAACATTATTTTAATAACGAAACTGCTAAATTCTTTCCAACAGTATAGATGTGTGGTGTATTTTGTCCGAGTGGGTTTGCTGTACTTTGACGTCATCGGCAGTCGAAGGACCCCAAGCCGAATTTGCACCCGAGCAGATCCTGTACCGACACCGGCCGGACTGTGGGGTTGCGGTGAGCACGGATCGTTCCGCTACTGGTCCTCATCCATGAAGGGGAGGGCGGGGCACGAACCGCTTCGCTGTAGAGAAGGCCCGCGGTTTGTTTTGCTGCCGTGCGTCGTCTGTGTCAGCACAGAAGGCCTGGCGGGTGTCTTGTAAAGCGCTGGGGGGGAACCCTGTGCACCAGTATATTTTCCCCCAAAGAATGACGTACAGGACATTGATTCTCACTAGAGACCACTGCAAATGCATTGGTTAAACGAGTGAACCACACCTTTAATCTTGTATCTCATAATGTTGTACGCTGCGATCCTAACCAGCTTGATGGCGTGTGGAATTCCTTCCACAGCTCTTAAGTGGAGCAAATTCTCCATCATTGGCCACAGCATGGGTGAGTTAAACAGCAGAAAATAACTTTAGCCTAAAAGTCTTCCTGTTTGTTTCTGTTGACGTCTGATTTTTCTTTCAGGCGGTAACATAGCTGGGGTGGTGAGTCTCTTACGACGTGTTAGTTCTCATTCTCACGCTGTGTTGAGTTTTGTCGTCATCCACGTGGTGTCTTCCTTAGTTCAGCGCCGTGTTTCCTGAGATGGTGGATGCTGTTGTGCTGTTGGACTCCTTTGGATTTTTACCCACAGATTTGGTAAATTTGTCATCACTTGGCTTCATTTTGAATGCTGGGACAGTTAACCTGTTATCACTGGATGTATTCATTACAATAAGAAAGGCTTAGAGCATTTGAAGGACTTTTTATCTGTTTGAAGACAGAGTTTTAAACTAAAATCATCTCATGTTGGTTAGGTTCTAGAATCATGCAGTCTTACACGATATTGCAGGTTCTTTTACAATCACTCAGCTCTTAGAAAGTGTTTTGTGAATCACATCTAAATTTACTACAGATATCTGCAAAACGGCCCGAGTAACAAGTAGGGGTGGGAATTTATACGTTTTATCAATACCAATGCCACTGTCGATTCTGTCTTTCCATCCAATTCCCTTATCGATTCCCGAGTTCCCAATAGGTGTCAAAAATTGTTACACATGGTCCCTTGCATTATACCTGTCAGTTTATTATTGATAAACAATTGGAATAATTATACCTTGTATCGACTGGAAAGTCATTTTTTTCTCTTTGTGAAATCAGAGTCATCTTCTTGTTCGGTTGTTGCAGTTTTTGCTAAACGGTTCAATCTCACCACAGGTCAGACTTTAGTGCTGGAGTCTGCTAGTGTGGAGGTGTGTATATAAGTTAAACGATGCTAACGTGATAGGCAGCATTAGCTGATTAGTTACCTGCAGTTTTAACAGGAGAGGATGTGCAAAAGTCACCGCTGCTGCTGCTGCTGCTGCGTTGAAATTCACTAGTCTGGAACGGGTCGAAACACGACATTCGGTGTAAGTGTGTATTTTGTGCACAAATGCTTTAGCATGTTTGTAGTGTTTCCTCCCTTTGATGAAATATTTACTTTGCAAGTACTGCAAGTTGCCCTGTTGTCATCCTTTCTCGGAAAGTATAACCAAACTTTCAAGAGTGTGTGCCCCTTTGGTGCCATGTTTCCTGCTGAGTTAGTTCATAATCTATGCAACAATGGCAAATGATTCCTAGGATTTGAAACAGTGGGAACCGGTTCTCGACAAGAACTGGTTTTCGATTCCCACCCCAAGTTAGAACCATTTATGTGGTGCTAATGTTATCATTAAAGGAATATTCTACCCCTAAATAAAATTTAGTCTGTTGCTTTATTCCCCATGGTTGGATAAGTGTGGAAAAAACAATTTGTAACTGGCCCAGTTATTCTTCTAATCCGGCAGTACACTATTAGCTTTAGCTTAGCATAAAACAATGTAAGTGAATGGTAACAACTAGCTTTGTGTGTGAAACAGTCATAATGACTCAATAGTGGTTCTTATTTTGCTTGGTGACCTAAATAATTATATAGACTGCAAGTGAAAATAATAATTAAAACAATTGAGTCAAAGATGCCATTTTAGACTTGGGACTACTTTGTGACAAAGCACAGCTGTAATGTCTACCAAAGGGTGCAAGGACATGACACCCAAAGCCACCTAGCCTGGCAAGCCAGACTTAAGACTAGCTCTGCAGCAGATAACGTCCCCGTCTAGCTCTGTAGCGGATAACGCCCCCGTCTAGCTCTGTAGCGGATAACGTCCCCGTCTAGCTCTGCAGAGGATAACGTCCCCGTCTAGCTCTGCAGAGGATAACGTCCCCGTCTAGCTCTGCAGCGGATAACGTCCCCCTCTAGCTCTGCAGAGGATAACGTCCCCGTCTAGCTCTGTAGCGGATAACGTCCCCGTCTAGCTCTGCAGCGGATAACGTCCCCGTCTAGCTCTGCAGCGGATAACGTCCCCGTCTAGCTCTGCAGAGGATAACGTCCCCGTCTAGCTCTGTAGCAGATAATGTCCCCTTCTAGCTCTGTAGTGGATAAGGTCCCCGTCTAGCTCTGCAGCGGATAACGTCCCCGTCTAGCTCTGCAGCGGATAACGTCCCCGTCTAGCTCTGCAGAGGATAACGTCCCTGTCTTGCTCTGTAGCAGGTAACATCCCCGTCTAGCTCTGTAGCGGATAACGTCCCCGTCTAGCTCTGCAGAGGATAACGTCCCCGTCTAGCTCTGCAGAGGATAACGTCCCCATCTAGCTCTGTAGCGGATAACGTCCCCGTCTAGCTCTGTAGCGGATAACGTCCCCGTCTAACTCTGTAGCGGATAACGTCCCCGTCTAACTCTGCAGCGGATAACGTCCCCGTCTAGCTCTGTAGCGGATAACGTCCCCGTCTAGCTCTGTAGCGGATAACGTTCCCGTCTAACTCTGTAACGGATAACGTCCCCGTCTAGCTCTGTAGCGGATAACGTCGCCGTCTAACTCTGTAGCGGATAACGTCCCCGTCTAGCTCTGTAGCGGATAACGTCCCCGTCTAACTCTGCAGCGGATAACGTCCCCGTCTAGCTCTGCAGCGGATAACGTCGCCGTCTAGCTCTGCAGCGGATAACGTCCCCGTCTAACTCTGCAGCGGATAACGTCCCCGTCTAGCTCTGTAGCGGATAACGTCCCCGTCTAGCTCTGTAGCGGATAACGTCCCCGTCTAGCTCTGTAGCGGATAACGTCCCCGTCTAGCTCTGCAGCGGATAACGTCCCCCTCTTGCTCTGTAGCGGATAACGTCCCCGTCTAGCTCTGCAGCGGATAACGTCCCCGTCTAGCTCTGCAGAGGATAACGTCCCCGTCTTGCTCTGTAGCGGATAACGTCCCCGTCTTGCTCTGTAGCGGATAACATCCCAGTCTAGCTCTGTAGCGGAAAACGTCCCCGTCTAGCTCTGCAGCGGATAACGTCCCCGTCTAGCTCTGCAGCGGATAACGTCCCCGTCTAGCTCTGTAGCGGATAACGTCCCCGTCCCCGTCTTGCTCTGTAGCAGATAACATCCCCGTCTAGCTCTGCAGAGGATAACGTCCCCGTCTAGCTCTGCAGAGGATAACGTCCCCGTCTAGCTCTGTAGCGGATAACGTCCCCGTCTAGCTCTGTAGCGGATAACGTCCCCGTCTAGCTCTGTAGCGGATAACGTCCCCGTCTAGCTCTGTAGCGGATAACGTCCTCGTCTAGCTCTGTAGCGGATAACGTCCCCGTCTAGCTCTGTAGCAGATAACATCCCCGTCTTGCTCTGTAGCAGATAACGTCCCCGTCTAGCTCTGCAGAGGATAACGTCCCCGTCTAGCTCTGCAGAGGATAACGTCCCCGTCTAGCTCTGTAGCGGATAACGTCCCCGTCTAGCTCTGTAGCGGATAACGTCCCCGTCTAGCTCTGCAGCGGATAACGTCCCCGTCTAGCTCTGTAGCGGATAACGTCCCCGTCTAGCTCTGCAGCGGATAACGTCCCCGTCTAGCTCTGCAGCGGATAACGTCCCCGTCTAGCTCTGCAGAGGATAACGTCCCCGTCTAGCTCTGCAGAGGATAACGTCCCCGTCTAGCTCTGTAGCGGATAACGTCCCCGTCTAGCTCTGTAGCGGATAACTCCCCATCTAGCTCTGTAGCGGATAACGTCCCCGTCTAGCTCTGCAGCGGATAACGTCCCCGTCTAGCTCTGTAGCGGATAACGTCCCCATCTAGCTCTGTAGCGGATAACGTCCCCGTCTAACTCTGCAGCGGATAACGTCCCCGTCTAGCTCTGCAGCGGATAACGTCCCCGTCTAACTCTGTAGCGGATAACGTCCCCGTCTAACTCTGCAGCGGATAACGTCCCCGTCTAGCTCTGTAGCGGATAACGTCCCCGTCTAACTCTGCAGCGGATAACGTCCCCGTCTAGCTCTGTAGCGGATAACGTCCCCGTCTAACCCTGCAGCGGATAACGTCCCCGTCTAGCTCTGCAGCGGATAACGTCGCCGTCTAGCTCTGCAGCGGATAACGTCGCCGTCTAGCTCTGCAGCGGATAACGTCCCCGTCTAACTCTGCAGCGGATAACGTCCCCGTCTAGCTCTGCAGCGGTTAACGTCCCCGTCTAACTCTGTAGCGGATAACGTCCCCGTCTAGCTCTGCAGCGGATAACGTCCCCGTCTAGCTCTGCAGCGGATAACGTCCCCGTCTAACTCTGCAGCGGATAACGTCCCCGTCTAGCTCTGTAGCGGATAACGTCCCCGTCTAACTCTGCAGCGGATAACGTCCCCGTCTAGCTCTGTAGCGGATAACGTCCCCGTCTAGCTCTGTAGCGGATAACGTTCCCGTCTAACTCTGTAGCGGATAACGTCCCCGTCTAGCTCTGTAGCGGATAACGTCGCCGTCTAACTCTGTAGCGGATAACGTCCCCGTCTAGCTCTGTAGCGGATAACGTCCCCGTCTAACTCTGCAGCGGATAACGTCCCCGTCTAGCTCTGCAGCGGATAACGTCGCCGTCTAGCTCTGCAGCGGATAACGTCCCCGTCTAACTCTGCAGCGGATAACGTCCCCGTCTAGCTCTGTAGCGGATAACGTCCCCGTCTAGCTCTGTAGCGGATAACGTCCCCGTCTAGCTCTGTAGCGGATAACGTCCCCGTCTAACTCTGCAGCGGATAACGTCCCCGTCTAGCTCTGTAGCGGATAACGTCCCCGTCTAGCTCTGTAGCGGATAACGTCCCCCTCTTGCTCTGTAGCGGATAATGTCCCCGTCTAGCTCTGCAGCGGATAACGTCCCCGTCTAGCTCTGCAGAGGATAACGTCCCCGTCTTGCTCTGTAGCGGATAACGTCCCCGTCTTGCTCTGTAGCGGATAACATCCCAGTCTAGCTCTGTAGCGGAAAACGTCCCCGTCTAGCTCTGCAGCGGATAACGTCCCCGTCTAGCTCTGTAGCGGATAACGTCCCCGTCTAGCTCTGTAGCGGATAACGTCCCCGTCTAGCTCTGTAGCGGATAACGTCCCCGTCTAGCTCTGTAGCGGATAACGTCCCCGTCTAGCTCTGCAGAGGATAACGTCCCCGTCTAGCTCTGCAGCGGATATCGTCCCCGTCTAGCTCTGCAGCGGATAACGTCCCCGTCTAGCTCTGCAGAGGATAACGTCCCCGTCTATCTCTGCAGCGGATAACGTCCCCGTCTAGCTCTGCAGAGGATAACGTCCCCGTCTAGCTCTGCAGAGGATAACGTCCCCGTCTAGCTCTGCAGAGGATAACGTCCCCGTCTAGCTCTGCAGAGGATAACGTCCCCGTCTAGCTCTGCAGAGGATAACGTCCCCGTCTAGCTCTGCAGCGGATAACGTGCCCGTCTAGCTCTGCAGAGGATAATGTCCCCGTCTAGCTCTGCAGCGGATAACGTCCCCGTCTAGCTCTGCAGCGGATAACGTCCCCGTCTAGCTCTGCAGCGGATAACGTCCCCGTCTAGCTCTGTAGCGGATAACGTCCCCGTCTAACTCTGTAGCGGATAACGTCCCCGTCTAACTCTGTAGCGGATAACGTCCCCGTCTAGCTCTGTAGCGGATAACGTCCCCGTCTATCTCACACAAACCTATAAAATTAGTCTTAAAGTTGCTGTCATGGAAAAGAAGAGTAGCTGAATTTTATTTAAATGGTTTCAAATCTTTCTGAACTCAAAGGATTAAATAATCTTTGCTTATTGATAAGTCTGCCAAACATCAACAGTGTTACGAGGCCAGATCTACCAACATCAGCGCATGTGGAGTTAGACAAACTTGACTTGTTTTGGAACCAGCCTACAGGATTCTTCCCAGTTTCCATTTATGTTGATGGTCCAAACGCTCTCTTTATGTTACAACATTACTCATCCTGATAAAATTACACGAGACACGTAAATTGTTCTACTTTTGATTGTTTGCTATAATCCGTGTGTTTCTTTGCAGAAAAAGATTCCTGTAATAATTAGGCAGGGGTTTGATGAGATGATAGAGTTTGAAAAGCAGCCAAAAGAAAAGACAACAAGAGTTTATACTTACGAAAAGGCTGTTGAGAGGTAACGCTACACCTTTTACTTCAGCAGTTGTAGAAGTCTTATGTTTACACTCAACCCTTTTATGTATAAATGTTCAGGTTGTTGGCTGGGAACGATAGTCTGACTGAACAATCTGCAAAAGTCCTTTTGGAGCGAGGTCTAGTTCAAGTTGAAGGAGGTAAAACGTTTTATCTGTCGTTCTGATCTGTGTAAATCCTCATTGGGCTGAATGTGTAGTTATTATTATTTGTTGTTGTTGTAGGGTTTGTGTTTTCCAGAGACTTTCGTCTTAACCTGGTAGGTGAATCTTCAGCATTTTTTCCTTTGGCCCGGTTCACGCGAACACGAGAGCCCATGCACGGTGATAAAAAATCACTTATACAACAACTTTGGTCCTACTGTGTGTGGTGTGTGGCAACGAAGCAAAAGCTAAACACAAACCAACTTCACACAGAAAGATTTCCTGTTCAGACTGTGAGTCACGTAAAGCCTACCGATCAAACGTGACTTTGTGGTAAACGGACATGGTGGAGGACAAGGATGCAACGCACCTCTGTCCCTGGATTTCTGATTGGCTACACGTCAAATTCAACAGGTGGCAAGCTTTTTGTCCTTGGGGCGCACCACACAGGTCGCATTAACGGGAAAAGACAATCCAACATGTTGAATATCCCAGATTCTGCTTCTGATTGGTTAACAGCAACACAACTCTTCCTCTGCCCAAGTTTGCTCTTCTTTCTAATAAATATAAGGTTTATGTTTTATCTCCACAAAAAACACAAGGCCGAACTTGTGAACTTCCATGTTGTGGATTAGCTAAGGGTTAGCTTCTACTAGCCGAGATGAGCTCTGCTCTTTCATTCCAGTGGGCGGTCCCAAGCTTAAGTGGGTGGGTGCATAAATACTGATTTTCTCTTCGTGATTCAGAAGAGTCTGACCTTTTCCAAACTAATCGTTACCTCATCTTATTTCCTTTCTGCGACTAATGAAGGCGAGAGGTTTTCATGTTCAGCAAGCATATGCAGGTCAAAGTGATGATCGTATTTCACAGACAACTAGTATTATAGGTTTCTTCTTTAGCACACCGTACACGGTAGGAACATCTCATTTAAAAGTAACATGAGAACCATTACACGGAGTGCAGAATTATTAGGCAAATGAGTATTTTGTCCACATCATCCTCTTCATGCATGTTGTCTTACTCCAAGCTGTATAGGCTCGAAAGCCTACTACCAATTAAGCATATTAGGTGATGTGCATCTCTGTAATGAGAAGGGGTGTGGTCTAATGACATCAACGCTCTATATCAGGTGTGCATAATTATTAGGCAACTTCCTTTCCTTTGGCAAAATGGGTCAAAAGAAGGACTTGACAGGCTCAGAAAGGTCAGAAATAGTGAGATATCTTGCAGAGGGATGCAGCTGTCTTAAAATTGCAAAGCTTCTGAAGCGTGATCATCGAACAATCAAGCGTTTCATTCAAAATAGTCAACAGGGTCGCAAGAAGCGCGTGGACAAACCAAGGCGCAAAATAACTGCCCATGAACTGAGAAACGTCAAGCGTGCAGCTGCCAAGATGCCACTTGCCACCAGTTTGGCCATATTTCAGAGCTGCAACATCACTGGAGTGCCCAAAAGCACAAGGTGTGCAATACTCAGAGACATGGCCAAGGTAAGAAAGGCTGAAAGACGACCACCACTGAACAAGACACACAAGCTGAAACGTCAAGACTGGGCCAAGAAATATCTCAAGACTGACTTTTCTAAGGTTTTATGGACTGATGAAATGAGAGTGAGTCTTGATGGGCCAGATGGATGGGCCCGTGGCTGGACTGGTAAAGAGCAGAGAGCTCCAGTCCGACTCAGACGCCAGCAAGGTGGAGGTAGAGTACTGGTTTGGGCTGGTATCATCAAAGATGAGCTTGTGGGGCCTTTTCGGGTTGAGGATGGAGTCAAGCTCAACTCCCAGTCCTACTGCCAGTTTCTGGAAGACACCTTCTTCAAGCAGTGGTACAGGAAGAAGTCTGCATCCTTCAAGAAAACCATGATGTTCATGCAGGACAATGCTCCATCACACGCGTCCAAGTACTCCACAGCGTGGCTGGCAAGAAAGGGTATAAAAGAAGAAAAACTAATGACATTGCCTCCTTGTTCACCTGATCTGAACCCCATTGAGAACCTGTGGTCCATCATCAAATGTGAGATTTACAAGGAGGGAAAACGGTACACCTCTCTGAACCGTGTCTGGGAGGCTGTGGTTGCTGCTGCACGCAATGTTGATGGTAAACAGATCAAAACACTGACAGAATCCATGGATGGCAGGCTTTTGAGTGTCCTTGCAAAGAAAGGTGGCTATGTTGTCGCCGATTTGTTTTTGTATTGTTTTTGAATGTCAGAAATGTATATTTGGGAATGTAAAGATGTTATATTGGTTTCACTGGTAAAAATAAATAATTGAAATGGGTATATATTTGTTTTTTGTTAAGTTGCCTAATAATTATGCTCAGTAATAGTCACCTGCACACACAGAAATCCCCCTAAAATAGCTAAAACTAAAAACAAACTAAAAACTACTTCCAAAAACATTCAGCTTTGATATTAATGAGTTGTTTGGGTTCTTTGAGAACATGGTTGTTGTTCAATAATAAAATGATTCCTCAAAAATACAACTTAAGTAATACTTCTGCACTTCCTGTACAGTAATCGGACATGTCCTTCACCCTCCCACTGTCTTTATGGGGTCCACGTGGCAGGGGTGAGGAGTGAGCACCACCTCACCCCTGCCACGTGAACCCAAGGGATAAACCATCAACCCTGCTCAATGGTCAACTTTCCTCGCGGGGTCACCCCCATTTGGACAGTGGGAGGGTTAAGACTGTCTGAAGGGGAAAATCGGCCCAAATCTACATAATTATTTTGCCGTCTGAATCAGACCTTAAGGCGCTCCATGTCGATAATGAAAATTTGTTTTGTGTTTCCAGAAAAATGTGGTACGCAACACCGTGGAGCAGTGTCTGGATATGCAGTCAAAAATTCAAGCTCCTGTTTTAGTTCTTCTGTAAGACCTTCCCCTGCCTGGAGTTTTTTTTACACGTACGAGTCTGAAGAACCCACACTAAACACACGTTTGGGTTTACAGGGCAGAAGGAGGCTTTGAACAAAAGTTTCTGGAACCAGAGCAGAAGAAATGTTTTACAGTAATTCTTCAGGCCTACAGGAACAGAAATGTGAGTGAACTTTCCTTTTTGGAATGTTTGAATCTTGTCAAGTTGTTCAGCTTGTTTGTGGTCGTGTGTTTCACGGTTGTAAAAGTCCAGTTCTCTGTTTCAGCACACCGTGGTGAGTGTTCCGGGTGATCACCACGTCCATCTGAACAATCCTGAAGTTGTGGCTCCACTTGTGTCCGACTTCCTGCAGAACAAAGCTAGCTCCCACTCGTCAAGACTAAAAGACGCTCATACTCCTAAGTTATAGTAATCATGCATGTTTAGTTCATTCATAATCCCACTTTTAACACATCTGCTGAAAGTTGTGCGTTATCATATTGATGGAGGCCTGTTTTCACTCACGCTAGCGCTTAAACTAGATGTTTTAGCTGCTTGGCTTGGGTAAATTCGTGTTGGACACTTTTGTCTTTGATACTAAAGAGTTTATACTTAAAAGGACTCTGATGTGTTTTAAGAGTTTACAATGAATCAGAACAAACGTCTGTGGTTATTTCGAACAAAGAACGCTATATAGCTTGATGATTGTACCAACAAACGGTATCGTGTGTCTGTTAACAGGAATCTAACACCAACCATGATGGAATTCTAGTAAAAATCTATCAGAAGTTTATTAGTCATGACAACTTTATTCCAATTTAGCCAATAAAATCTGTTTTAATAGTCTTTTTGTGATTCTTCAGCTTTAAAAGTCACTTCCCTGCAGTGGGACTCGGGTTGCTGAAAGGTTCACTGTGTTTCAGATTTTATTATTTTCATATTAGGAGGTTTTAATCAGTTCAGTTTCATTTGAGATTGGATGAAAAAAGATATAAAAATAAGACTTTTTACAGAGAAGAGACCAGCTGGACTTGACCTGCTGTTCTGGAACTTTGGTGTTGTCTAAAATAGCTCTGGCTTTTTTTCCAGCACTGAACTTGTACCAAATCGTGTTTTGGGTCCGTGGTAGGGTGATCAGGTGTTGATTTCCAGTAAAAGAAGACGGTAGCTACGTTTACATGGGCACAAGTAATCAGAATGAATGTCCTATCAGATCAAAAATTCTTCATGTAAACATATCAATCGGGATATTCTGATCCGATACGACCCAATCGGAATGGAATTCCATTCCGATTGAGAGAGGTGGTTTTGTCCGATCATCATTCCGATTGACATCCATGTACACACACACACACACACACACACACGAAAGAATGCCCGCTGGACGTCTTTCTCTGTATTTCTGTCCGAGTTTTGGGAATTGGTTTCTTCTATTGTTTTAAGCTATGACATTACTTTAATTTGGGGTCATTTGAATTTTCACATGGAGAACAATTCCAGTGAATATCTTGCCACTATGAAATATTCATTTTTACTTTTACTCAGCATGGACTTAGCCCAACTCATAATCGTATTCACACACTAGACCAAGTTTTTTCTTTCGGGTTACCAGTCTTGTCACCAAACGTTGAGGACGTTGGTACTTCAGATCTTTATTGCTTAAAGTTTAGCCGTATGTTTCATCCTACTGCAAAACATAAATTGCTCACTTATTTTCGCCCCCATAAATTTGAACTCAGCCAGAAATCCTCAGAAGCTAGCTTGACCTCAGCAAACTTTGTTGATGTTACTTCAGAACAGCTTTTTATTGACACAGACCAGCTAGTTATTGGTTTTAATTCAGTTTGCAGAAATGTCATGAACTGAAAACAAAAACAGAGTCATCAACCCTGGGTAAATAATACCAGTGTTGCCAGATAATTATGCAGAAAGGCAGAATGATGCTGGAAAAATGTCTTAGAAACTTCAAAAAGTTATTAAATCTGCAAGTACACAATAGTTTCCCTCTCTTGTAGAAAACCAAGCACTAAGAAGAACCCAAAGGTTATTTTTAATGCTATAAATGTTATCCTCAAATCTTCAGATAATACCCACATGTCAACTGTCTCTTGTGAAGATTTTAAAAATTTCTTTACTAAGAAAATTGAACACTTGCATGCAAGTGTAACTCCTTGTGACCCCTCTGTAGAGCCATGCTGCCTCGCTGTCTTTAAAGAATTCCAGCCTGTGATTTATGTTTCTCTGTGACTTGATCTCACATACAAAACCCACGACCTGTCCTCTAGATGTCACCCCTACACATTTTTTTAAAATAAGTCATGGGTCTACAATCAAGTTGGGTCTACAATCCATCCATCCATCCATCCATCCATCCATCCATTTTCAGCCACTTATCTGGAATCGGATCGTGGAGGCAGCAGTCTAAGCAGAGAGGCCCAGACTTCCCTCTTCCCAGCTACTTGGCCCGGCTCCTCCAGGGGAATCCCAAGGCGTTCTCTGGCCAGCTGAGAGACGTAGTCCCTCCAGCATGTTCTGGGTCTTTCCCAGTTGGACATGCTCAGAAAACCTCATCACGGAGGCGTCCAGGAGGCATCCTAACCAGATTACTGAGATAATAAGCATGAAATGGCACAACAACAAACACGAGAACGCAAATTAAAAACACAGATAAAATTATTAATTAGAGCTAAAAGGAAAAGACAGAATTAAGGTTGAGTAATTACATCACAGATTACAGTGGAGACGATGCAGCATAAGAACCAATTCATTTAAAGGCTGATGAGTACATGAGGGTTTTAGGTTTTGATTTAAACAACACTAGGGTTGGGGCACAGCTGAGGTGCTGGCGAAGCTGATTCCATATGTGAGCAGCATAGTAGCTAAAAGCATCTTCACCCTGTTTGGTTCTGACCCAAGGTTCTACCAGCTGATTGTTTCCTAAGGATCTTATGGCAAGGTGGAGAAATGAGGGCTCGGGCGGGATTCGATCCCCCAGACTCCCACCCGGGCCCTCGTTTCTCCACCTTGCCACATTTGGCGTTGTTGGCAGGTCAAGTAGGTCCATGGATTTGAAGTTTGTGGAAAGAGGGGGGAAGATGTGACAGTGTGTGAGCGTCCTGTCACTGTCCCGATTGATCTTGCACCCTGGCTACTTGGCCAAGGGGATGTCCCTTTGGCTGACTGGTTAGCGCGCATGACTCTCACCCGGGAGTCTGGGGATCAAGTCCTGCCTGGGCCCTCATGTCTCCACCTTGCCACATACAGGAATGAGATCAGACATGTATTTTGGTCCCATGCCATTGAGTGATTTATAAACTAGTAGGAGCACTTTGAAATGTATTCTGTTGTTTACTGGTAACCAGTGTAGGGATCTAAGAACAGGAGTGATGTGCTTTGTTCTCTTAGTTCTTGTGAAGACTCTAGCAGCAGCATTCTGAACAAGCTGCAGTGGCTTCACGTCTTTTTTGGAGAGACCAGTTAGGAGACCATTGCAGTAGTCCAGCCAACTAGAAATGAAAGCATGAATAATTTTCTCTAAGTCTGGTCTGGACATGAGACCTCTGACTCTTGATATTTGATGAAGGTGATAAAACGCTGATTTAGTTATAGCCTTAATATGTCCAGAGAAGCTCAGGTCTGAGACGGTACCTGTCCTAGATTCAGTGTTCAAAGAGGGGTTAGACAAGGATGTAGTGTTTCACCCCTATTGTTCATCTTGGCATCAGAACTGCTAAATATCGCAATCACTCACTCAGAAGTTAAAGGTAGATAAACACAATTAAGATTAAAACAAGAGTCTTAATTTTCTGCTTAATAATTTATTTTTAATTCTAAAATATTTTATTCTCAAATGTAGATATGCCAAATCTACCCCCACTAGGTCTGGTTTCTTAGGAAATCTGAAAACCTTCCAACAATATTTAAGCTTTGTTAAAAAACCCTCAGCTATAAAGTTACAGTCTGCGCTTTGTGAATGTAAATTAATTTTACAAACCCCTTATTATTATTATTATTCGTCTTCGTCATCTTCGTCTTCGTCTTCCTCCGCTTATCTGGGTCCGGGTCTCGGGGGCAGCATCCCAACTAGGGAGCTCCAGACCGTCCTCTCCCCGGCCTTGTCCACCAGCTCCTCCGGCAGGACCCCAAGGCGTTCCCGGACCAGATTGGAGATGTAACCTCTCCAACGTGTCCTGGGTCGACCCGGGGGCCTTCTGCCGGCAGGACATGCCCGAAACACCTCCCCGGGGAGGCGTCCAGGAGGCATCCTGACCAGATGCCCAAACCACCTCAACTGGCTCCTTTCGATCCGGAGGAGCAGCGGTTCTACTCCGAGTCCCTCCCGAATGTCCGAGCTCCTCACCCTATCTCTAAGGCTGAGCCCAGCCACCCTACGGAGGAAACTCATTTCGGCCGCTTGTATCCGCGATCTCGTTCTTTCGGTCATCACCCAAAGCTCATGACCATAGGTGAGGATTGGGACGTAGATCGACCGGTAGATCGAGAGCCTGGCTTTCTGGCTCAGCTCCCTCTTCCCCACGACAGATCGGCTCAGCGTCCGCATCACTGCAGACGCCGAACCAATCCGCCTGTCGATCTCCCGATCCCTCCTACCCTCACTCGTGAACAAGACCCCGAGATACTTAAACTCCTCCACTTGAGGTAGGACCTCTCCCCCGACCCGGAGGTGGCAAGCCACCCTTTTCCGGTCGAGAACCATGGTCTCAGATTTGGAGGTGCTGATCCTCATCCCAGCCGCTTCACATTCGGCCGCGAACCTACCCAGCAAGAGCTGAAGGTCAGAGCTGGATGAAGCTAGGAGGACCACATCATCCGCAAAAAGCAGAGACGAGATTCTCCTGCCACCAAACTCGACACACTCCACACCACGGCTGCGTCTAGAAATTCTGTCCATAAAAGTGATGAACAGAACCGGTGACAAAGGGCAGCCCTGGCGGAGTCCAACCCTCACTGGGAACAGGTCCGACTTACTACCGGCTATGCGGACCAAACTCACGCTCCTCTGGTAAAGGGACTGAATGGCCCTTAACAGAAAGCCACCCACCCCATACTCCTGGAGCGTCCCCCACAGGGTGCCCCTGGGGACACGGTCATAAGCCTTCTCCAAATCCAGTAAACACATGTCGATTGGTTGGGCAAACTCCCATGCCCCCTCCATCACCCTTGCAAGGGTATAGAGCTGGTCCACAGTTCCACGGCCAGGACGAAAACCACATTGCTCCTCCTCTATCTGAGATTCAACTATCGATCGGACCCTCCTCTCCAGTACCTTGGAGTAGACCTTTCCATGGAGGCTGAGGAGTGTGATCCCCCTATAGTTGGAACACACCCTCAGGTCACCCTTCTTAAAGATGGGGACCACCACCCCGGTCTGCCACTCCCTAGGAACTGCCCCCGATGACCACGCAATGTTGTAGAGACGTGTCAGCCATGACAGTCCTACAACATCCATAGCCTTGAGATACCCAGGACGAACCTCATCCGCCCCCGGGGCTCCGCCGCTGTGTAGTTGTTTGACTACCTCAGCAACTTCTGCCCCCGAGATCGGACAGTCCATCCCCAGGCCTCCCAGCTCTGGTTCCTCCTCGGAATGCGCATTGGTGGGATTGAGGAGCTCCTCAAAGTATTCCTTCCACCGTCCGACTATAGCCTCAGTTGACGTCAGCAGCTCCCCATCCCCACTGTAAACAGTATTATTATTATTATTATTATTGTTTATTTTTTCCTTTCTCACATTCATTTTATTTTTTAATTTACAATTCCCCCTTTTTGTTTTACTATTAACTGTGTTAGCTTCCTTATCTATCCACCAAACGTTCTTATAGTAATGGAGATTTGTGTATCACTGTTTTGAACTTTATTCAGATTGTGTTGTTCTTTGTATTTGTGATCAAATAAGTTCAATAAAATAAAATTAATAAAAACATTGTCCTCTAGTGGCAACGGAATATAAAATAACAATAAAATAATATTAATAATAATATAAAAAACCTGTGTAAAACCCACGGAAAGTGAAAATAGTGCAACTCTGATGGACTGAGCGGAAATGACGTCACCGTCATTCAAGGTCAGTAAATGTTATTGAAAACGTACCTGTTGTTCACTTAACCCAATCAAATGAAACCGAAATTAAACATATTTAATTATTTTGAACGTAGTTAAAATATTTTCTAGCTACGTCTTTAAGAATCTCAACTCGTCGTCGCATAGTTACGTCACACTACGTAATACCTAAGCGTCAAATTCAAAATGACACCGAACCAGTTTTGCAAGTTTGCAGGGTTTTTTTTAATTGACGATGCGAAATAAACCCAGACGAAATAAAAATCTGCAGAATGCAGCGAGCAACGCCGAAGAAGGCCGAGAGCGACCGACAGGACCGATCGTGTTGTCGAGCAGCTCAGAAGACGATTCAGCTGCTGACAGAAAAGAGAGCAGAAGCTCCCGCAGAAAAGGAGCCAATATCGCCACGGTCTTTCTCCGTAATCAGCGCGGGACGAGTAAGCGGAGCTCTGACGGGGAGCCTGGTCGACCGGAAGTACGGCTTTTACAGAAAACAGAGCCGCTCCCGCAGAGGGATGACGTCAGAAGTTCACAGCTGACAGCAAACCACGGCCTTGCCGAGTCCTCCCGGAGGGAACAGATGACTCCTGCAGATTTACAAAGCTGTCTGGAAAAAATCAAAGCTTTAAATCCAGCATTTCCTGTTCAAAGTGTCTTCTGCTCTCTGCAGAGGAAGTCAAGGCAGAAGCTGCAGGAGGCTTCAGGTGACTGCAGAGGCGGACCTAAAGAGTTCCTCTCAGGTGTGCCAAGAGGTCCCAGCAGGGGGGCGGAGTTTACTATCCAAGGAAAATTAGATCATTTGTCATATTTATTATATTAATCATACACGAAACAACAGTTTATGTCAAAGTCTGCCTTTTAACTTCAAGTTGTTCTTATGCCTAAACAATTAGAGATGAAAGAAATCAAAGGTTCTGTGTATAAATGTATCGGAACAACGAGAACATCTTAAGTAACCAAGAACTGTTTTTATTGCAGTGATGGAGAAAACAATCCACCTTGAACTGCACTTTGAACTGCACTGCACTTTGATCTCATTTGCCAACTGCTTATTCCTCAGAAGGGTGGCAGTGATGTGGTGCGAGGACAGGTGTCCACCCACATCCAGGGAGCTACAGATAAATAAAAGTATCCAGATTTACTATAAAAGTTTAGTTTAGGTCACTGATGGCATTTTGATAATTGGCCTGTATTTGTATAGTGCCTTCTTAGGGTTCTACAACCCCCCAAGGCGCTTTACAACACAATCAGACATTCACACGCTGGTGGGGATGAGCTACAAAGTAGCCACAGCTGCCCTGGGGCACACTGACAGAGGTGAGACCTGCCCAACACAGGTGTCACCGGTCCCTCTGACCACCACCAGCAGCAGGTAAGGTGGGTTAAGTGTCTTGCTCAAGGACACAACAGCAGCATTCTGTGGTCAGAGCCAGGATTGATCCTGCAACCTTCTGATTACTGGACCACCCGCTCTCCCTCCTGAGCTGCTGCTGGCCCCATCTCACACATCTTGGGTGTTTATAAAGGCAGAAAAATTATTTAACGAATTTTCTTTTCCCTTAAAATGTAAACACATCTTTGATGTTTATTGTTCAGTGATGAAGATTAAAATGTTTTAAAACACAGATTAAAAATAATCCTTTAAAACTATGTTTTCTGGTAATATGACACTTTTCTATCCTGTTGAATCTTTTTGATTGTTTTTGTTCTACTTGATTAAATGTAAAATAAAACCTTCTGTTAATTTGTTCCTGTCTTTTCCAGCAGGAGACTCCTCTCATCCAGACACGTCCTGTGAGAGGTTACCGAAGCGTCCGAGGTCTAGTCCCCCTCCAGAAGCTGCTGCAGGATCCTGTTTTGTGCCTGGACAGGAAGTCCATGGAGGTTGTATCCCTAAGCAGCAGCGTAGCGACAGAAAGCTGAGTCGCTCTCACAGACTAAAGCAGAGGGAGCGTCTCCATCCCACGACGTCTGACAAACTGAGAGGTGGAGCTCATCTCCTCCTGATCCTGTTTCTGCCTCTGGAATCTGCTTTAATTAGGTTTTCTCTTGTCTAGGTTCCTGCTTGGAGGATCGACTCTGGACGGATAAATACTGTCCTCAACATTCAAACCAACTTATTGGGAATTCTGCCTCAGTCAGCAAATTACACAGGTCATTGTTTTAGTTTTAGCTTCAGCGCTCTCTGCCTCTCTCTGTCTTACTGTCACTGTCTCACACTCTATACAAATGTGTGTGAATGTGTGTGTGTAGTGCATGTGTGTATGTGAATGTGTGTGTGTATGCATGTGTGTATGTGAATGTGTGTGTGTATGCATGTGTGTACGCATCCGTGTATGTAGTGTGAGCGTGTGTAGTGCTTGGTGTGTGTGTGTGTGTACATGCATCTATGTGTGGTGCGTGTGTGTGTGTAGTAAGAGCATGCATAGTGCATGTGTGTGTGTGTGCATGCATGTGTGTGTGTACATGCATCTATTTGTGGTGCGTGTGTGTGTGTAGTAAGAGCATGCATAGTGCATGTGTGTGTGTGTGCATGCATGTGTGTGTGTACATGCATCTATTTGTGGTGCGTGTGTGTGTGTGTAGTACGAGCATGCATAGTGCATGTGTGTGTATGTGCATGCATGTGTGTATGTGAATGTGTGTGTGTGGTATGTGTGTGCATAGTATGTGTGTATGTGAATGTGTGTGTATGCATGTGTGTGTATGCATGTGTGCGCGCATCCGTGTATGTAGTGTGAGTGTGTGTAGTGCTTGGTGTGTGTGTGTACATGCATCTATGTGTGGTGCGCGTGTGTGTGTAGTAAGAGCATGCATAGTGCATGTGTGTGTATGTGCATGCATGTGTGTGTGTGTAGTGTTTGATACGTGTGCATAGTGCATGTGTGTGTGTGTGCATGCATGTGTGTGTGTACATGCATCTATTTGTGGTGCGTGTGTGTAGTACGAGCATGCATAGTGCATGCGTGTGTATGTGCATGCATGTTTGTATGTGAATGTGTGTGTGTGGTATGTGTGTGCACAGTATGTGTGTATGTGAATGTGTGTGTATGCATGTGTGCGCGCATCCGTGTATGTAGTGTGAGTGTGTGTAGTGCTTGGTGTGTGTGTGTGTACATGCATCTATGTGTGGTGCGTGTGTGTGTGTAGTAAGAGCATGCATAGTGCATGTGTGTGTATGTGCATGCATGTGTGTGTAGTGTTTGATACGTGTGCATAGTGCATGTGTGTGTGTAGTACGAGCATGCATAGTGCATGCGTGTGTATGTGCATGCATGTGTGTGTGTACATGCATCTATTTGTGGTGCGTGTGTGTGTAGTACGAGCATGCATAGTGCATGCGTGTGTATGTGCATGCATGTGTGTGTGTGGTATGTGTGTGCATAGTATGTGTGTATGTGAATGTGTGTGTATGCATGTGTGTGCGCATCCGTGTATGTAGTGTGAGCGTGTGTAGTGCTTGGTGTGTGTGTGTGTACATGCATCTATGTGTGGTGCGTGTGTGTATGTAGTGTGAGCGTGTGTAGTGCTTGGTGTGTGTGTGTGTACATGCATCTATGTGTGGTGCGTGTGTGTATGTGCATACATGTGTGTGTGTAGTGCTTGGTACGTGTGCATAGTGCGTGTGTGTGTGCATGCATCAGTGCACATCTGTGTGTGTTTAGTGTGAGCGCGTGTAGTGCTTGGTGTGCATGCATGTGTGTGTGTGTGTGACAGCTGGAGTTAAATGTGCTCTTTCTCTCTGACGTTAGTTGGTTGAAGTCATGGAAGCGTGGGTCTGATGCTGAAGACGGGAGACTGACGGGTGACGGTAAACATAAAGGTAAACAGTAACGGTGTAAGATCTTGTTTTCAGGTAACGTTTTCTCGAAGCACCACGAGTGAAATCTGACTCCAGGAGTTAAGAGAAGCAGCAGGTCTGTTCATCTGACTTCTGCTGGCGCCCTCTTGTGCAGGGTCCTGGGACTGTGGAGACTTTCAGGGTGAAGCTGTGGTCAGAAACGGAAGGGAGGAGCCTCTGAGTAACGGTGTGCTGCTAACAGGACCCTCAGGCGTGGGCAAGACCGCCTCGGTGTACGCCTGTGCTCAGGAGCTCGGCTTCAAGGTGGGAACGAGCTTCTGTCATCCGCCCTCCAGTTTGATAGATTTATGTTTCACTCTGAAGTGACTGGATGTAACTGGACTAAACCCACATTAGTTTATTTATTTAATCCACCTTTAGGGAACTTTGAGTGTTAATGATCGCCGATGCAGACAGACGATGCTACTGAACCCAAACTTCATCAGGGATGCTCATCACTCCTGCTGACAACTCTAGGTTTTTTCCCCATTTACATCACAGAATCAGCTAAATTAGTGGTTAGTTTGTTGGGATGGCTCTCAGCTCCAGCAGCTTCACATCTGTAAAAATCCAGTCTGTGTTGCTAAGGTCAGTCAGCACAAATAAATCCCCGCTAACTTCCTGAGACTTGATTTATAATCCAGCCTGTCATTTATGAGATTAGATTAAGAACGTTTTACTTCCTTCTCTGTGTATCTTAAGTTCAGTCGTGCTTCTCTACTCTCACCTCTGCATTTCCAGTGAATTCCTATCATAAACGGCACATTTCTAACCGACTTTCACTTTTATTTAAAGTTATTTGAGACCTTTACAAAATAAAAGCCTGTCTTACAGCTTGTTATTTCCTAAATATTGACATTCTTAATGAAGCTTTGAGTTGTTTGGGATGTTTAAAGGAGACATATCCTATTAAATTCTTCCTTTTTACTTCTAAATAATTCAGTTGGGGTCTAAATACAGTAGAACTGCAGTTCTTTGCTCTGATTTCCTCATTAATGCTGCTCTACAGACCTCTCATCTACCCTGTTCTGAGAGTCTGGGAATGTCGTTTTTTTGTGGTACTGTCTCTTTAAATCTGGAGAAGCTGGAAACCCCGCCCCCCTCCACAGAGCAGAACTCTCCTCCCCCAGTCAGACTTTGTAGTTCTATAGAGAAATCATTGTTTAGCGTAGCAGAAACGTTATATTGGCATTTTTAAAGCATGTGGGAGAGTTGTCCATCAACTCTCTCACGTGTTGGTCCGTATTCACACGCTGTCGCCAGTTACCGTGACGACACAGCCAAAAGATGTATTAGACAATATAAAAAACTGAACAGGTGGACAAATAAGACCAAAACTTTATAATAAACTATCTAAATAGCACATCTAGTGAATAATATAAGGCTTTTTGCACACTAGACGCTTAAAATGTATAAAAGTGGATAAAAAGGTGAGTTTTTCATGATACCTTAAATCCTGTAATATTGGCCTGTATTCAATTAACGGCCAGGTATCATATTTTGGCCGGTGTCGGCGGAGGTGAATAATGGCCGGTATCTTATTGTGGCCGGGTGGAATGTGGTAACAAGCAAGTACGGGAGGCGGTTGTGTCATCCGTCTCACTTTTGATTTGCCAGTGATAGACCGCGAGGGTAACTTTAACCGTGCGGAGACGAAGAGGAGGCGAAAATTTGATATCAAGTTCAAAGAGAACGTGCTGATTATGCTGCAGCACACTGGGGAGCAGTAGGGGGTGTATGAACTAGTCGACTTCACTATAGTGACTTTTTATGCCTGTCATCGACTAGTCGCTGTCACGTGATAATGACCGGCAAGATGCAGCCCTCGGAAAAGGCAGCAGCCTGCTGTCAGCAGGTGACAAGCTCCTGCGCTCGGGGGGGCAACGCGCTGTGCCAGAGCGTCGGTACTGACGCGACCGTTCATGTCGGCTCATTTCCTTTAATGTTTTCTGTCTTTTATTTGTGCCTGATGCGTTTCGCTGCTGTGGAGCGGGGCGCATCACCTTGTCCTCCGGTGACGCACCGATCACTGATGCGGCCGCCAAGCAGCGAGCACTCCGCGGTTTTAGCGGTCGGTAGATCTTTTAGAACTGCAGTTCAAAGGTAACTCATAAGGTGAATATATATGAACCCAGGTAGCAGTTTTTCTTTAGGATTGAGAGGAGATGCAGGAAGATAATAAACAGACAGGACAGAAAAATAGTCAAATAAAAACAAGTTAGTTTTTGTACCTGCTGTTGCAACAAACAGACACCACTGAAGGTAATCAGAAGTGAGAAACAGAAAATGAAATAATTATTTTAATGTTTAGAGCAGCAGGAACTCCGAGAGGCTGCAGGCGCATCAGTGAGTTTGCGGCCGCTGTGCAGGGGGAGGGGGGAGAGGGCTGAAGCAGGAACTACCGTTGTTAAAAGAAATGTGTTTAACTTTGAAAATGTGGGCGCAATTTTAATTGTCAAAAACTCCAGCGAACCGTAAGTTCATTTTACTCAAATAGAAATTGAGGCCTGCCTCTAATTCTGGCCCTCCTTCCAATAAAGGCCTGGAGCTTGACGAGTTTGAGTCAAATACAGGCCCGGGCCTGTATGAGAGGATTTACGGTATGTCTCCTTTAACGTTTGCTGATATTGAAGCTAAATGTTTAAAACCATGTGAACCAGCCAGGCTGCGTGTTGCTAACAGAGCTGCATTATGGGTAAAAGATGAGAAGAACCACCGTCTGGTTTGTTCTCGGTCTGATGACAGGTGTTTGAGGTGAACAGCTCCTCGCAGCGCTGCGGTCGCCAGGTCTTGTCTCAGCTGAGGGAGGCCACCCGGTCTCACCTGGTGGAGCCTTCAGGAGAAGATCCTCTAAAACCAGTTTACTTCAACAACTACAACCAGTCCAGCTTCTCCCCTAAGCCCGGTAGGAGATGCTCCGTCGCTACAGTCACGCTACATACTCGTATGTAAACATTTCCTTCTACAGGAAGAGAACAGCTTCCAAGAAGCATCACGTCCAGCTCAAAGACCAAGACCGTCCCAAACTCCTGCTCTGCTGGTGGCAAGGTAAAAACGAGAGCCGCCGCTTTGGCTCGCTACTTTGAGACCAAGGAGAAAGCAGATCTCCTTCACTTTTCTGGAATTTTACCCTCTGGGACGTCGGACACAGAGGAGCGAGACAACGCCTCGCTGATCTGTGATCAGTCCGGGAAACAGAACAACGAGACGGCCATGTCGCTCATTCTGTTTGAAGAGGTGAGGCAGCTATGACCTCATCAGCCTGAAGGAATGATGTCATACACTCACACTGGGTTTCCACTCCGACAGGTTGACGTCATATTTGAGGACGATGTTGGATTTGTCGCAGCCATCAGATCTTTCCTGACGACCACTAAAAGACCCGTAGTTCTGACCAGCAACGGTGGGGCGTTCTCCTCCTCCTTCAGCGTTTTTTTTCCCTCTGAGGTGTTTGGTGAAACTGCAGAAACCTGCACGCTGTACGTTTGAATCTAAACACCCGCGTTTCTGCGTAGATCCATTCCTCAGAGAGCGATTTTCCTGCAGCCTGGAGGAAATCGTTTTTAAAACTCCACCGGCTGTGAGTTCCTTTCATATCCTGATAAAATGTGATTTTTGAGCGCAAACCAAGAAAAAGCATCCGAGATGTTTGCCGAACATCCTCCGTCTGTGTGCAGGCGAGCGTCTGTAGTTACCTGCAGCTGACGTGTCTGGCTGAAGACGCCTGGGTGGATTCGGCGGATGTCAGCAGGTTGCTGCGACTCACCGGTGGAGACGTGAGGCGCTGCCTGCTGCAGCTGCAGCTCTGGGTCTGCAGCAGCAGCAGAGGTCGGACGTGTCAGCCCGGACGACTCACTCCAGCCCGTTCTCTGCGTACGTCTCCACATAAACTAAAACTTATTTTAGAATAAATGTTGCAGCTTATCGTTTTACTTCCACTCAGACTGTAAAGCTTCTGTAGGAGGAAGCCAGCGTCCTCCATACCAACCAGGATGTTCTGACTACATGTTGGGTCTGCTCCCTGTCACCCCAGATTATCTTCAAAACACCCTAAAGGTACGTTTTCATGATTGTCCAGTGACCTAGCTCCTTCTGTAACCATGAATTAACTAGATTTGTCTTCTTTAGTCTCCATCCTGGTCCGAGTCGGACCTGACGAAGCTCCTGAATCATCTGGCTGAGAGCTGGAGTCAAGGTGTGCCTCTTCTCTATTCCAACCTGAAGCTCCTTCTGCCCTCCTCCCTCCTCCACCTAGAGGACAAACCAGACCCCCCGCAGCAGAAAGGGTTCATTCGCTCCGATGACGATCTTCACACCCAGCTGGCTGGTCAGCGGCGGTGGGACACCAGCGGCCAGTCCGTCAGGAGCGTCTCCCGCCTCAGCCGACGGAAACGAGCTGTGTCCAAGTTCCCATCTCCAGGTTTAACCAACAGTCAGACACGCCTCTGTGAGACTTGGTCAAGAATGCCGAGTTTTAGCAACAAAGCTGGAAAACAGACGGCTGAAGCAGCGGCAGGCCGTTTGGACGCCCTGGCTGACCTCTTTGACCTCATGTCCTACGTCGACGCCACGCTGACAGAAGCAGAACTTCTCGTTTCGGGATCAAACACGCGTGAGGCGTTCGTTTGGACGGGAGCCACAATAACAGACGGCGTGTCGGATAAAATGGGCGAGGAAGTCGGAGGGAGAAGGAACCAGGATGTTAAAGCAGCTGTCGAAGGTTTGGGATTCCACCGGTTCTGGCGCGGAGACTCTGAGACGTGGACCAGAGCTCAGAGATCCAAACAGGACCTGGAGGACAAACCACGGGGAAGACAGCAGGACACACAGCTGTTTGTGATGTCCTCTACCAATCAGAACGTCAGCTTCACTCCTCATCCTGCCTGTGCAGCGAGGCCAGTCTGCTCTTCACCTCTTAGTTTAGTTCAGGCAGCAGAGGAAAAGGCTTTAGATTCAGTTTATTTCGATAGCACCTGATCACCAGAGTCGACTCCAGTTCATGACAGTTAAAGGTTTCCTATGTAAGGAACCCCAGCTGATTGCATCAAGTCACTGACTAGTGTCGGTCTTTACAGCAATCCTCATACTAGGGCTGGGCGATGCGGCCTAAAGTCAACATCACGACACCTTGAGCATTTCACCTCGATAACGATAAATGGACGACAACTACAGGCATGCGCAGAAACAAAAGTTGTCCACTAGATGGGGCTGTCACGTGTACCACCTTGAGTCACATTTTTACCTGACTCAAGGTGATACAGCTTCTTAAAGGGACATGAACGTTGCCAACCTACACACATCTTTTCATTTTTTTTAATTATTAAATTTATTGACATGGGAAAAATGATCTCGATAAGTCAGAAATTGCGATAACGATAAATTTTCGATTTATTGCCCAGCCCTACGTCACACTAAGCAAGCATGCGGCGACAGTGGAGAGTAAAACGCCCTTTTAACTCACTCACTGCCAGCCGTTTCCTGATCGCTAACGGCCTTCACTGCCAGCGTTTCTCACTGTTTTTACAGTTTTTTTAAGTCACAGAACGTTGCGCGCTAGCATGACGTCAATGCCAAAACAACCAAAACAAAGCGGAGACTCACCTCTTACATCAGGAAGAAGCCGCGTGTTTCGAGCGTTATCCGTTCTTTCATAATCCGTTGTCGGATTGCGATTGGCAGACGCTTTTCCGGTTCGCACCTCACTTTTTTTACAGGAACGGCCCAAAACGATCTCCTAACACATGGATGTGTTGCTTCCTGATCATGTGATCTGTGACGTACGCGGATGAAGATCGGCTTCAGGGCTGAGGTGTTTGTTCTCTCAGCGCGGGGGCTCGTTCCGATGCTCAAACAGTAAAAAAAAAAAATGCAAATGACGACTTTAGTCGTCAATGGCAGTGAACGAGTTAACAGGAAGAAACCTCCAGAGGATCCTGTCTCTGTATAAGCAGCCGTCCACCTCACCCTAAAGACAGCGCACACCTAAAATGATTAAAAGCACCTTTCTTAAGTTTAGATTTTTATATTTCTAAGTTGTATTAATATTGTGTCTCATAAAGCAACAATAAGCAGGTTTATTATATGAGAGCTAATAAACCAGATAGACATTTCCTGGTTTCTGATCAGTTCCTAAAAGTTCCACATTTCAAACTAAAAGGCAGAATGATTTTGTTCTCTTGGACCTTGGGTCTTATCTGATGATTAAAATGATAGTAGGGTATTTGTAAAGAGAAATCCAACAATGCAGAAAGAGATACGTTTGTGAAGTAGACTCTGGCTGCTGTGCCCCAGGCTGCGGGCGTTTAGGGGAGTCGACCAGGTTGTCACCAGGTTGTTCTTGTGCTTTTCCCATTAGTGAGTCTGACAGCAGATCCAGAGTCAGCCAGCTGGTGCTCAGCAGTGCGCCCTTCAGCCTGCTGGGGAACAGACGGGCCGTGTGTGTGGACTACATGCCCGTCCTCCGCTCCTTCTGTCATAAGCTCCGCGTCAACCAGCGAGGGGAAACGGGGGAGGGGTGAGTCTGATGCTTCTGCTTCACAGTAAAATCCATCACAAGCGGACATGAAATAAAACATCTCGCTTTTTTCATTTAAGGTGTTAAATAAGCTCAACCGGAGTTCTGAGTGTATTTTTATATCTAACGGTTTTTGATTGGTCTCGCATCAGGAGGCGGAGCCACCCGAGTCTCCCAAAGTCAACGCTACGACTCCTGGCTCAGGACGTTACTCTGAGAAAACCCCGGAAGGATTCGTGAAGCTGGTTTCTGCCTCCAGCTTGTTTCTCCTGAGTTAATTTGTGTTTTTATTCAAATAAATGTGAAAACGTGAAATGTAAATAAAATATCTGATGAACCCTGGTGAGGTGCTTCAACTGTCCGGGTGCTGGTGTGGGTTGCCGCGGCGATCCGGGGAGAAAATCCTCAGGTAGAGTTTGTAGAGTCCAGCAGACATGACTGAATCTGCTAAGAGGACGATTCGCCGAGGAGCTCATAGAAAGCCACGGCCTGCAGCAGCGCGTCACACAACTCCTCCCCTTCTCTCCTGCTGCCCATCTGGAAGTGGTTCCTGTACCGGACCAGCAGCTCCAGGGGAAAACAGACCCTGGAAAACTTTTGCGTCGCAGATTCAGTCATCATCTGTCTGACGGTCTGAGCCCCGCTGGTCCGAGACTCGCCCACCATCAGCCCAAAGTGGCGTCCTACGGAGAACCTCATCATGTTCAGCACCCTGATAAAGGAATGGTCATGAGAAACAGGGTAAAGTACAAAAAACACGGTTTTTAAACAAGCACGATAACACATGTACCAGTGACTAAAACCCAAACTAACATCTCGTCCTGGGTCCAAAGCCAAAGTAAAGAAGTGGGTCTCTAAAGATGGTTTTAAAGTTTCCAGTGAGGAGGCCTCGTCCGAATGTCGTCATGAACATAATAAACAGAGACCGAGTAAACACCTTTACTATAACAATGTGTTTTGTTCTGACCTGGGAGGAGCATTCATTTCTGGAGGGGAGACTCTAGGCTCCAGCAGGGCAAACAACATGGCCTCCACCACCCTCATATGAGCCATGATGGGGAACAGAGCCGTGTTCTGCACTGAGATAGAGGGTTTCTCTATCACGTAGAAGTCTGCTGATGGGAGGAAGGACACCACTGAGGAAACCTGGTGGGATAAAAGGAAGTTACAAAGGGTTCTGAGCATAAACGCATCATAGAGGCCTGTGATGCGTGTACCTACGTCATTTAAATAAGCAGATGCCAGATATGTTCCATTCAGGAAATTAGGACAGTTCTGCTCTTGCCAGTCTAATACGGTCATCCCACGGTCCATGTGCGCCCAGGCGACTTTATTAGTACCACATATTATTGACACGATGGAGGCGGCATCCTGGACAAACAAAGGAAAACACCTTATTCATACCTCACAGAAAAGACTGGTTCTCTGGCAGGCTCAAATGTCCAACTAGACCTGGGGTCAAACAGATGTTTTCCATATAGACTTAGTATAAAGCACGAGCGACAATAAAAGAGATGTTTAAAATAAAGCCAATGAATTCACATCTAATTCAGTAAAACACCAGACACTCTCCTTAGACCAGCACAGGTGTATCCCTGAAGGACCGGTGTTGTGCCATAAATCGACTCGCTGCCAAAAAATAATTAGCTTAGTTTTTTCCAGTTCTGAAGTTGTTTTAAGTGTTGCTATTTGTCTTAAACGTTCACAATGAAGATATATGAATCCTTTTTGCAATATTTGCGATTGAAAGATTGTTTGTGGTAAGAACTGGCTTTCTTTATGTTACAGCCTTGATACTAAAAAATAAATAAACAATGCAAAATGGCACCCTGTATTGAATGTAAACGTTGTATAAATGTAAATAAACAATTCTCCAGCGATTTGATTTTTTCCCCCTTCCTTTCTTTAGTGGCTAATCATTTTTTGGCAGCGAGTCGATTTATGGCACAACACCGGAAACTCACCTCTAACCAGGACCTGTCCACTTCCGGCCTGGTGAACTTTGCCAGCTGCACCCTGACCTTCCTCTCCTTCTTCACCAGGTTTATGATGGAGTTGAAAACTATGACGGCGCTCTTGTGTTTCAGCCGCGGCACGTTCACCACACTCTCCAGAGTATTAAACGGGCCGTTCTTGCTTCTATACTCCACGATGTTGAGCGCCTTGCGGCCTCTGAGCAGCTTGACGGCGGCCAGCTCCGCCGGGGAGGCGGTGTTCAGGAGCTGGAGGATGGTGACTCTCTGTTCGGGGGTGTAGCAGACGTCCAGCGTCATGCTACCGTCCTCTTTACGGGGCTTCGAGGTGGAAGAGGTGAGAGCGGCGTTTAAAGTCTCAAAGCCCGCCACGGGAACGCGACCCCACCAGCAGGAGGTGCACTGGAGGTACCCCGGCTCCAGCTCAGGGATGGAGCCGATCCGTTGGCGGCGGAGGAGCCCCAGCTGTCCCGCACACCGAGCTGGTAAAAGCACACACACTTTGTTTAAATGACCAAAACGCCTCTTAGTTTGAATAACCTGCACGGCGTTTACATTCCAGGCAAAATTGCCGACAAACTGAGAAGAGAGTGTGTTTACATCCCCTGGAGCTGCTAACACTTTAGCTACTAGCTAAACTATTAAAAGTCCAAGATAAACAACCGCTGAGAAAACTAGTACGATAGATTTTTACCTTTCTGTGCGACCGACGAGAGAAACCACCTGGAGCCCCACATCATCATTATTTAACACAAATGTTATTTACTTTCTCCTAAACATTATGTAGGTTAAACAAGTTTGCACTGCTGCTGCTGCTTCCTTCTTCTTCTTCTTCGACTTTAATGGCGGGTGGCATCTAACTGCTAGGTGCATTTCCGCCACCTACTGTGCTGGAGTGTGAGTCGGAGTAAGAGCGAAAAAAAAATACTAAATTCAATTCAATTCAAGTTTATTTATAAAGCGCCAAATCACGACAAGAGTCGTCTCAAGGCACTTCACATAATAAAAATTCCAATTCAGGTCAGTTCATTAAGCCAATAAGAAATAATGTTTCCTATATAAGGAACCCAGCAAATTGCATTTAGTCACTGACTAGTGTCAGTGACTATACAGCAATCCTCATACTAAACAAGCATAAAGCGACAGTGGAGAGGAAAACTCCCTTGAATTGAATTGAATACTTCCCTCATATTTGATGCAGTCACATAAAACATGTTCCACTGTTTGTCCCCCCCACCCCACATCCACACAAACCTGTGGGATGTTGCATCGTATCATTAAGCCCAGTATGTCCCAATCTTAATCTTGATATTATTCTTTGATCTCTACTATTCTTATATTTTTCCATTTTCCTACCTTCCCTTGTATCTGAAACAAATGTCTTCCTTTCTCTCCCCTTTCCCACATTCTTTGCCACTCTTCCACTATATGTGCTTTAATGATAGATTTAATTTTAGCGGCACTATATGCAATATTTATTATTTTCCTATCTCGTATTGCCTTTTTTGCAAAATAATCTGCCATTTCATTTCCTTCCACTCCTCTATGTGCCGGCACCCATAAAAATTTAACTTCCGTACCCAAATTGCCTAATCTAAATATGGTCTCATATATCTCATATAACACATCTATTCGACTCTTGGTAGACATTAATTCAACTGACACTAATACAGATAATGAATCAGTACATATAACACCTTTTTTAATTCTATTTTGTTCCATCCATTGAAGACTAAATAAGATAGCTATCATCTCCACTGTGTACACAAATAAATGATCTGGAGTTCTTCCCTAACTACTACTCCTATATGTGGTATCACAAATGCAAAACCGGTTTTTCCCCCTACCAGGTCCTTTGATCCATCTGTAGATTTGCACAAAAGACTCATAGCTTTTCAATCTATCTTCTGTAATCTTATCCCAATTTCCTTTCCCCCCACTGCTTCTCAGTTTATCATAAATACTATAATCAACACACACTTCCGGAAATATCCATTTTGGAATAACCGTATATAAAAATTTATTAATTTGTACTTTATCATGGATCTTACTCTCTTTTGCCCAATCTTGCACTTTCCAGCTGCCATAATCCTTCTTCATTTTCTCCGTTTCCCAACATGGACTCGGTGCCCTTTTTGCCATGTGTTCATCGTCCTCACACCCTTGTATACTTGCCCAATAATTCAAAGCTATCTGTTTTATTCTAAGCTGTATTGGCATCTCACCCATTTCTACCTGTAGTGCCACAATAGGTGTAGATTTTAGTGCTCCACAACACACTCTTGATGCTTGACTTTGTATGATTTCAATCCGTTTCATTAATGTTTTAGATGCTGAACTATAAACTATACACCCAAAATCTATCACTGACCGTATCATTGCACTGTACATGTATTTTAATGTCTGAGCACTAGCCCCCCCACTCACATCCTCTCACACATCTCATTATATTTATTACTTTCTTGCATCTTTCCTCTATTTTAGTTAAATTATCCTTCCATATTAACCTTTTATAAAATATTACTCCTAAATATTTAAACTTAACTACTTGCTCCAACTCTTTTCCATACAATGTTAAAGTCTCCATTACTTTCTTGCCCTTTGCAAACACCATACTTTTAGCTTTTTTCCACTGAAAATTTGAAACCCCATTCATATGACCAGTTTTCCACCATTTTAATTTGTTCCTGAACTTTCTTTTGAACATATTGGATATTTTCCCTTTCTTCCATATTGCTCCATCATCCGCAAACAATGCCTTACCAAACTCATTCCCCACATTCTGAAACACATCATCTATCATAATAGTAAATAATATCGGACTAATGACACTTCCTTGAGGAGTGCCATCTTCTACTTTACACCCCCTAGAAAGTGCACTTCCTATTTTTACTTGAATATTTCTCTCACTCAAAAAATCTTCAATCCAGTTGTACATTCGTCCTCCTACTCCTAATTTTTTAAGTTTTATTAACAATCCCTCGTTCCACACCATGTCATAGGCTTTTTCTACATCAAAAAAACTACCACTAAACTCTCTTTATTAATCAACGCTTTTCTAATTTCTGTTTCTAAATAAACAATTGCATCCATAGTGCCTCGTTTGCACTGCTTCCAACTGTCCAACGATTTTAACTGACCGGTGGAATATTTTTTTTCTTATGTTTCAAAATCTTTCTATAATTTTCTTTTCATTACATCAGGAAAAAAAAGACAACCGGAAATAAATGTTTTTCTATTTTCCTCATTTTATAATTCATGTACCAAAATAACCTACATAAATGGCCAGCAGGGGGCGCCAAAGCCCTAATATGTAAGACTACACTTAGTAACCCAAATAAATTCATCTGAATACATTGGCATGTTCGCCTTATTTGTAATGTAAATATGCTTTTCTGCAATAAAAAAATAGTAACCCAAATAAATTTTGTTTTGAATGTTTTACTTTAACAATTAGAATAAAATAAAAACAACCGTATTTTGAATGAAAGCCACACCGGTCATTTAGAGGATAGTTTACAATAAAAATGTCTGACCGGTGGAATATATATATATATATATATATATATATATATATATATATATATATATATATATATATATATATATATATATATATATATTAATTGCAGAAAAGTATGCCAATGTATTCAGATGAGAATTGAACAGTCAGTACTGAAAAGAGGGAGGACAAAAACAAACAAAAAAAAAACAAACACAAAAACAATGCATGAGCGGTGGAATATAACCGACTGTAGTTTGCTTCCGTGTTCCATGTTTCTTCTTCATTTGTTTATAACTAGCCCATTACTGACCCCTACTGTATCAGTGTGGAACAGCGTGAAATATGTTATAAATACTTCGCATTTTTCTTTCTTTCTTTCTTTCTTTCTTTCTTTCTTTCTTTCTTTCTTTCTTTCTTTCTTTCTTTCTTTCTTTCTTTCTTTCTTTCTTTCTTTCTTTCTTTCTTTCTTTCTTTCTTTCTTTCTTTCTTTCTTTCTTTCTTTCTTTCTTTCTTTCTTTCTTTCTTTCTTTCTTTCTTTCTTTCTTTCTTTCTTTCTTTCTTTCTTTCTTTCTTTCTTTCTTTCTTTCTTTCTTTCTTTCTTTCTTTCTTTCTTTCTTTCTTTCTTTCTTTCTTTCTTTCTTTCTTTTTCCAAAACGTTATTGAACAAGATGATAAGTACTCAAACAAATTGCATACAAAATTGAACAAATAACATGAAACTTATGCCAGGGGGGGTGCACTACAGTAATGTTACACACATCCAAATAAATTATAAGTGGTGCAAAGATTTTTTATTTAGTGATCCACTAATCAATTTTATGTAAGAGAGTGTCACTATAATAGTGTTTGAAAGCAGGTTTTTGGTTACTATACCTGCATTTGTGGAGATAGTAACAAATTTGTAACAAAGTATACATCTTTCTTTCTGTGCTTGTGGAAAAAAAATACAACATTTTCCCATTTTAAAATAAAGTCCTTGTAGAGCTGTCCGATAATAAATCTGCTAAAGTCTTTCCAAAACGTTGTAGCATGTGAACAGATCCAAAAGAGGTGCTGAACGGTGTAAGGGTGGCTTCCACAAAAACAGCAATTCACATCAATGTCCCTCTTAAACTTTGTCATATAGTGATTTGCTGGATAACACTTATGAAGTATTTGGAATGAAACTTCTTTGACCTTATTTGTCACAAAATACTTATTAGGAATGGTCCATACTCTGTTCCAACTATGTCAGTGACAAAGGAATTTCCAATAAAACAATTAAATATGGAACAGATAAGGATTCTCTCTGAAATAAAGCACGAATATTCCTATTCCTGTTTTTATGCTCGGTTAGACAAACTTTATGTGTTCACAGGGTCGGGAGGAGAAATAGGCGGTAAATACTTCGCTTCTTTCCGGAGTATTTCTCTTATCTGATGGCACCATCTAGTGGCTGACAAGCATATCACACAAAAAGTCTATTTCTCTGTTTAAGATGGCGACTTCACGTTTCTGTTTATAAATGTGTGTAAAACGTTGTTTTACAAGTGTTGTTCTCATGTCATGTTCATCAACTCTGCATCAGCCGAGGTATTCCTTAAATGTAAAGCGTCTAAGCGGTAGTCTAATGCTATTGGTTAGTTCTGGTCCGCGCTCAGTTTCCTATTGCACGGAGCTCTGCGGGGCAGGGGGCGTGTTTAGCAACAAAAAAAGACGTATTGCTTACATTTTATCACAGTACATGATAAGATAATCACTTTTACGGATTTCTGACAAATCATATATAATTTCTGAAAGAGGAAAACTCCGGAAAGCAGCTTTAACAGGGTTTTCAGCTTTTTAAAATTAAATTGCCTAACTTTTGACTATTGATTTTGCATCTTGATCACCGAATTTCTCATTCTAATTGTTGTATTCTAGTATTTCAGTAGCAAATACAAAAAAGCCAAATTGGCTTCCTTTTGAGTTATGGATTATTCTGTTATCTACTGAAAACTTCCACTCAATATAAACTGTAATTGTTGTGCC